CTGGCACTGTCACCTCGCCGGCCTCCCGCCCCAGCCCAACGTGAGCAGGAGGGCCCTCAGCGGCCCCGCGTCGATTGGCGGGCCCCCATATGCAAGAAGAGTGAGGCAGGGCGAGAGGGGCGGGGGGGCAGAAGGAGGGGGAACACCGCGATGTGGAGCAGGTGGAGGACCCACCTCCTGCGGCACCAGAACAGATACCAGAACAAATCATGTTCGCCATCTACCAGCTCAGCCACCGCGACCCGTCGTCATCTACGACCAACATGCGCTTTAGAAAGCCGCTTCTCGAAGCAGCACACATGGAACACGAAATTGCGCTGGACATGATCAAAAGGACCATTGGGATGGGTGCGATCACGGACAAGCTGCACGATATCCAGGACGGCGCCGACAAGAGGCGCAAAGAGGACCGCAACCCAGGATCAAGCGTGGACGCTCCACCAACACCCCAGACTGAGCATCCTCGAGCGGTATGCAGGGTGCGCGTTGCGAGGTGGTACCATCTGGGCAACCCACTGCACGGCAAGTGCACCAAGTGAAAATCCACGGGCATCATCATCAGGCGGGGGGGGCATCGAGTAGAACGACTTAAACGGCCAGGTACCGCCACGCACCAGCGAGGTCTCCACCGCCGATGAGCAGCCGCACATCGCAGGCCTTCACACAGACCAGACAGGAGACGAAGTCCTTCGCACCCAAAGCACCTCAACGCTTTCGGCGGCCAGCGATGCCGCCAGCGCCCACGACGCCGCGGGCACTGACAGCGCCGTCAGTGAAGCCGCCGCCTCGCATGCAGCCACCAACGGCCGTGCCAAAGCCTTCACGGCACCGGGCGCCGCCAATCGAGGTGCCCGGAGGAGCTCGACACCGTCGGCCAGGGGGCATGGCGCGCCAGCTCGGCGGCTCGACCAGCTACGATGCCCACATCTCGACGCCAGCGCCACCTTGCATGCGACTGCTTTCGCGTCAGCCAAGGCCGCTGCCACTGATGCGCGCTGAGGCCAGCGCAGAGCACCCTTAGCAGCACAGCCCAGCAGACCGCCCTGCAGAAGCTCTCCACCCACAGAGGAGAGTCGGAGAAAGAGAGAGAGAGAGAGAGCACCAACGACGTGCACCACCGACGTTAACCAGAGCACCGCAACGACAGCATCAGCATGGGAGACACGAACAATGGGCTTGTATAAGTCGTTGGCTACCATCGTTGCGGTTACGCCAGGGTGCGGTTTGCGAGTTGCTTTGTGGCGGCCTTTCCGGGGCCTTTGTGAGAGACAATGTCATAGCTGTCGTCCTTTCGAGCGACACTATCATCCTCGATGTGTGGTCCACTATGCTAAAAGGAGCGGCAGTGTCATGTGATTCGGTCGCATTGAGTGACAGTGTCACCCGTTTCCCGGGTGCGGGAGGGGCAGATATGACGGGAGGCAAACCGCACCCTTCGCAAACTGCACTCTTTGTAGTCGCCGAGTAAGGATCGTATACCCATTGTGGGCGACATTGACCACCGCAAACAGGCGGCGCGCAGCCAAGCGCCCGACACGGTAGAAACAGGAGATTTCCCAGTTGTAATTTTCTTCCAGATTGCTCAACTGGCGCGCAAGGCCCACAAGGATTGGGCACCAGAGACCAACCGGCAAGATACATGCTTGGCCATCACCGAGGGCGATCACATCAATACAAAGTGGACCTGGGACCAGCCCGACCCACCTATACGGGATTCTGGGCATGAGGGGGGGAGGACGACGGACGTCGAATAAGAAACATCGCCATTCACATAAATTTTGAGCGCTCCGCGCGGATTTCTTGGAGCTGCGCTGGACCCCCCTCCCGGCGCCTTCGGCGCCGCCACTGGCGCGCTCCGCGCGCCAGGGAAGGGGCCAGCGCAGCTCCAAGAAATCCGCGCGGAGCGACAATAGTTTATCTCTAAGGCATTTCTCCTACTTCTTTTTCGCAGTCACGCACCAGGCACATGAGTCAGGAAAGGACCCCGACCCGCCGCCGCCCAACGCGCTGGGGGCGGACGCGCTGGGGACGGACACCCATCGCTTACCCGAGCACGGGGCGCGCGCTGGCAGCGGCACCGACGCCATTGCCAAGCTTCTCTTGATCGTGGACGCGGAGGACCTGGGCGAGTGCCGCAAGACAGTCTACGATACAGTGGAGCCCCATGCCAAGAAGCTCCCTGCTTGCTTCCAGGGTGCCCTGGGTTTCTTGGCTTTCGATGGGTTTGCTATGGAAAGCGTGACGTTCCCACACCAGAAATCGATGGACGTCATGGGGGCTCAGGGTTGGGCTTCTTGTGGAAGGTTTCTTGTGGACTGGCCTCCGCTGTACCACGCGCCGCACCTTCTACCACGAGAGGACTACGCGCCGTCGGACCAATCAGAGCGAGCCCCATGCTGGCCCCTCATCGGACGTGGGGTCCAGCGACGGCTTCATTGACCATCGCTCTCAATCGTACCAGTCCGGCACAACCGACAGGCGCTGCATCCACCCGCCGCGCTCCGGGCGGCTACCGAGCGCAGGGAACAGTTGCACCAGCAGCGATGACCCCAGCGAAGAGCTCGGCAACCCCTGCTGGTCGCAGGACCCGTGGCACTGACCTGAGGAGCACTAGCATCGCCACGTCTCCCAGCGCAACGTCTCCTCGGACGTTGCCGCCCTCGCGGAGCGCAGATTGCACATGCCTCCACAAGTTTTGCTGCACCGACGGCACGACCGCGACTCAGCTGGCCACCACCTACTCACAGTCCCCGAACGCTCCACCATACCCAAGCTCCGCACTCACTGCTGTTTTGGGAGCACCAGCACAAACTGAACGCGACGCGGCACAGCAGCACTCCACCCACCAGTAGTGCCACTATCGTCTGACATGTACCAAGCGCAGCAGCTGCAGCCCCCGCACACTATGACGCAGGCGGAGGTCTACGCAATCTTGCCTACGACTAGTTACTTCCACATTTGCCATGCCTCGGACCCCGTCACTTCCATCTCTGCCTCGGCCATGCAGTGCGCTCGGCAGAACCCCGTTTTTTCCCGCGCCGCTCTCGGCTACTTCGGCCGACGCGCCTCCTCCCACGGCCTGAGCGCCGCACGGCGTCTACGCCGCATTGCGCCTGCCTCCACAACGGCAACCCTCTCGACGAAGCCCCTTTGGACTGCTCGTATTTCTGCAGGATCCCTGTGCCTCGGTGGCCTTCTCTGCTGCCCCATCCTGAGGCACCTCCTGACGCACCCTAACCCCCCCCCCTCCCTCGCCCCTTTGTCTTGCAGCTCCACCCTCGCCCACTGACCTGTCCCACAGCACCCCCGCACGGCCCGGGGGCGGCAACGGGCGCGCGGGGGCGGAGCCCGAAACTGGCGGGGGGGAGGGGGCCACAAGGGCCGCGCCCGGCGCAAGTCGCCACGGGGGGGCACGGCCCCCCCACGGCGGCCGCGGACCAGGCTGCCGCGCCGACCTCGAGAGCCACGCCGAGGGAGCTCTCGCTCTCCCTCCCCGGGGGGCGGGTGCCCCGCTTGGAGGCTGCCGCGCCAACCTCGAGAGCCACGCCGAAGGAGCTCTCGCTCTCCCTCCTCGGGGGGGGGGCGAGTGCCCCGCCTGGGCCGCGCCCATCGCATCACCTCTTCACCGCTTCCCCACCGCGTGCGCTCTCCCTCCTCCGCGCGCCGCCCCGCCTGCTGCGCCGCCACCCCGTCCTGCCCACGGCGCGCATCGCCTCGCCCGCCCCCCGCCCCCACCCCTCACGGCCCGCTGCGCCGCGCCTGTCGCGTCGCACCTGCGGGCGCCTGCACCGTTCTCGCCTCGCCCCTGGACTTCCGCACAGGACAGGAGGTTGGGCGATGCGTGATGTAGAGGTCATGAACGGGGGGGGGGGGGGGCGAGGGTGGTCCGAAAAGGTACCCAGACGGTACCTGAACGAGCTCCCCTGGGGCTCCGGAGGGGCCCGAAAGGGGACCGTTTCTGATCCCCCCCTATTTGTGACCCCCCCCATTAAGCCACGCCCAAGAGGGGTTTCCCCCCTCCCCCCAGGGGAGGGCGGGGCCCACGCTCGGGCCACACTCGCACCCACAGCCCCCTCCTTCACAACAACAACGACAACAACACCAACGACAACAACAACAACAACAACAACAACAACAACAACAACAACAACAACAACAACAACAACAGCAACAGCAACAACAACAACAACAACAACATCCGTCGTCCTGCCGTTCCGTCGCCGATTGCTTCCCTCTCTCCACCTGTTGTTCTTTCTTGCCCCTCCCCCCCCCTCCCAACGCCACTGGGCGGGGCGGGCTTCGGCCCCGCGGCGGCGCAGCCCGCAGCCTCGAGCTCCGAGGCCGACAGGAGGGCACAGAGACGGACTGGGCGCAGCAAGCGGAGGCAGCAGCGGCGGCAGCAGCAGCGCCGGCCGCGGCGGGAGCGGCTCGCCGAAGGGGGACGCGCGCCAACGAGCGGAGGCAGAGGGCGGAGGCCCAGACATCCGACGTCATGATCCACGTGGCCCCCAAAGCTAGGTCGGGCGTGTCCCCCTACAGGCGGAGTCTGGGCGATTTTTTTAAGTCAAAGATATTGCCAAAGGGATAACAAAAGGTCAAAACAAAACGTCCCCATATTATTTTTTACTATTTTCGAACGTTCCTCCTGTAGAGGGACGCCCGACTTAACCCCAAAGTTCTGGACCCCGTCCTGGGGACCGGCCTTTCGTCCCCCGCACCCCCCTCCCCCCCCCATGGAGTGGATCTTGGCGGTTTTGGGCGCCTGCTTCGAGCGGGCGGAGCCTCCCCTTATAGGACGCGCTGTTGCAAAGAGTCGCACTGAGCAGAGGTCCGGAGCCAGACACTCCCCCTCCCCCCTCCTTTCCGCCCAACGTCGAATCGGAACGCCGAATAAACAGACGCTCACCTTTCGCAGCTCAGAGATGTCAGGGTGGGGGCTAACTGCGGCGAGCAGCTCAACAGTCCGAGGAGGGCAGCAAGAGGAGAGCGGACCACCCAAGGCACGGGGCCGTTGGTCGCGGCCGTCGCGGTGGGCCTGCTCGCGGTGGCGGCCGGCGCGTTCTTCGCCTTCCGGCGGAAGCCCTGAGCCCGCGGCCTGCGGCAGAACGGCGGGTTGACTCTTGCAGTTGGGCTTGTTTTCCACCACCACCACCACCACCAGAAGTTGGAGTGGGAGGGGGTCCTCCTCCTCCTCCTCCTCCTCCTCCTCCTCCTCGTCCTCCACCTCCTTCCCCCCTACAACTTGTGGTAGCGGTGGTGGGAAACAGGCCCATCATTGGCTGCAGTATCCCCGGACCCCCGACGTCATGAGTTGTTCACGGCGTGGACGGGGACCCCCGGAGGTCTCGACCCACTGCCCGGGACCAGCTGTTCACCCCTGGTCATGGCTTCGTACGGTCCCAGGGCTCGGCGGGGGGCCCCAGAGGCTGAGCACTGCCCAGGACCTGCCGTCGCGATTCCTTCGTGGCCCGAGGGGCTCCGGGTCCGAGGAGGACAAGGCGCCTCTCCTCGCCTCGCGCTCGCCCTGTCGCCGCTGCAGCGGCAGGAGGCGACAGCGAGGGCGGGGGAGCGGCTGCAGCCCCCGCCCTCGCCTCGGCTCCGCCTGCCGTGGGGCCTCCCGGGAGGCCCTCGCCGCCACGGCGGGATGCGCTTCGCAGTTCTGGTCGCAACGCACGCCCGGAGGGGTCCAGGGCCAGGGAGCGCGGTCGGGCTTTTTGGGATAGCGCGTCGCGCCGCCGGTCCTGGCCCACCGCGCTTCGGCGCGGCACGCTGTCCACTGCAGGTCCCCAGGCGTCCACGTCCGGAGCTTTCCCGAGCCTCCCACCCCGCGGAGCCGAGCGACACGCTATCAGCCTGCAGGTGATAGCGTGTCGCCGGGGCCGCCGCGGCGACACTCTGGGCAGAAGTTCCCGACCGTAGCGGCGTCGGTGCCTTTGTTGCCCCCTCGCAGGAGGCCTGTGTGTTGGCGACGCTGGAGGAACCTCCCTCGCTGGCCTTCAGCCCCTTCTCCGCCTCGCTTCTGTGGTGCCCCGCCGCCAGGCGTGCCCGCGGCGGCGGCCGGCGCGCCTCCCGCTTTCAGGCGAGCGCCCTGATCCCGCGGCCTGGCAGGGCGGTGGATTGCCCTCGCAGCTCGGCATGGGCAGGCATGCGTGATGGACTTGCTTTCCACCACCACCACCACCACCATAAGTTAGAGGGGGGAAGGAAGTGGAGGACGAGGAGGAGGAGGACGAAAAGGAGGATGAGGAGGCGGAGGAGGAGGAGGAGGAAGAGGTGGTGGTGGAGGAGGAGGACCTCCTCCCCTCCAACTTATGGTGGTGGTGGTGGAAAACAGGCCCCTCAATGCGCGGGCGGCGCGCACAGTGGGGTGGCGCGAGGGAGCGACCTTCCAAGAAGGCGGGGGGGGTTCTTAGAAAGCGGGGCGGTGTAAGCAGGACCTGAACACTTCCAAGAAGGCTCTTCAGATGAGCGTCGCTGAACCGATCCCCATCCCCATCCCCTTCGAGACCCCCACCAGATTGACACCCCAGTTGGGGATACACCCCTCGAAACCCGAAGAGCACTACCTATATCCCCATCCAGGGGGGTGAATCGGCCAGTGGGGCCCAGGCCACGCCGCTGGGGATGGGGATTGGTTAAACGATACTCATCAGAAGCCGGGAGGGCTTCTAGGAAGCTGCCTGCCTTCTGATAAGCCTCCCTCCCCCCCTCCGCCCTGTTAGACGGCCGCTCCCCGCCCCCCCCCTGTGCGTGCCTCCTCGTGCGCGTGGCGTGCGCATGTCGTCTTCCCTTGGTGGGCTCCCTGTGGAGCAAGTGGCGCGCAGCTGTGATCTCTGGCTGCTGTGCGATGGCGGCCTGCGCGGCGCCAAACGGTCAGCCGAGTCGTTCTTCTCTCGTCACTCTTGCCCTCGTATTTGCCGCTGCGGGGGGGGGGGGGGACAGGGGTGTCTGCTCGGCGTCGTCGGCGGCCGGAGAGCGGCGACAGCGGGGAGCACCACGGTTGCAGGCCCCTCTGGGGCTCCGAAACTGGCGCGGTCCCACCGCAGGTGCGCCGCACGCCGACCACGGCAGCCTCGACGTGGTGGAAGTGAACCGATGCGTCGGTCGGCGCACACAGATTGCGAAGGCCTTACGGCCGGTGCCCCCGACCCTGAATGGCGACGACGACGACGACGACGACGACGACGACGACGACGAGCGCTCTTGGGGGCCTCTTGGGGGTAGTTTGTGGGCCTCTTGGGAACCTCTTAGGGGCCGCTTGGAAGCCTCGTGGGGGCCTCTTGGGGCTTCCTGGGACCGATGCGTCGGTCGGCGCACACAGATTTGGCCGATTGGTAATTAATGGAGACTCTTTGGTACGGTGGAGGCGCTGGTGAAGGAGTGTGCCCATGAAGCTTCAGACCCTGGACGGCGGTGATAAGCCATGGCCAAGTCAGGATTAGAGTTTCACCAGCTTCCAGACCTTGGGTTCCTCACCCAATGGCTCCTTATCCCACGCCCTCACCGTAGCACGCACCAGTTGCCATGGCCGTTTTGCTCAATCCATGGTTGGGTAAGCGAGCCCGGCGCGACCACATGCGATGCCGATTCAGGCGAACTTTGCTCCAGCAGCACGGAACATGGATCGAAGATGTTTGCGTCGAATCACCGGGGTCCCTTGCCTTTGGGAGACGCCTATGTGGCCAAACGTTCGGCCAAAGCCTGGCAAGCTATTGACCCATGTGCTCCCTCGGCCGTTGCGGAAACCTTGAGCCTTGGGGCTTGGGGGGACATTTGTTGTGGGGAAGAGAGGAAGAAAAAGAACCAGAGAGAGAGAGAGAGAGACAGAGTAAGAGACAGAGAGAGAGAGAACGAGAGAGAGAGAGAACGACAGAGAGAGAGAGAGAGAGAGACGAGAGCAAGGAGGAGGACCAGTGCAAACCCAAGACTCATCAACGATGTTGCAAAAAAAACCCTCCCTCCAAGCTCCTTCTTCAGAGGCCTCTACAAGGGTTCAATTTCACTGAGGGAAGCACTCCGTTGGAAGACAAGCATTCGAAAATCCTGAAGCGTGCCAGAAGACCATTCCTGGGACTTCAGCGCCGCGATTGCACGTAACTGCTGCGTCTTGACGATCTGAACTGTGCCAGAACACCATTACTGGGACTTCCACACCGCAAGTAAAGATAACTGTTGCGCTACCACAGGCCCACATCGCGCCAGAACACCATGTCTGGGACGTTAACCATAGGAAGCCTTGAAACTGTTTTAAACTCTTGAGGCGAATGTGCGCGGCGCCGCGGCGAGAGCCACTTCTGAAGAAGTGCCGACCTCCATCCGTGAAGCTCTTGCGATGTCTTAAAGGCGAGTGTGCGCGGCGCTCGGGCGAGAGCCGCACTTCGAAAACGGACTGCCCTCCATCAGTCAAACATTTGCATTTGTTTAAGACGAGTGTGCGCGGCGCCCCGGCGAGAACCACATTTTGAAGACGGTCCGCCCTCCGACCGTGACGTGCTCGCAAACGCTTCAGACGAATGTGCCTGGCGCTGAGGCGAGAGCGTATCATAAATGGTGGTGAAAGTCGCAGGCGAAACGCCCGGCCCCCCTTACCGACACCTGCCGGGCTGCGACAGGGAGGAGTTCTTCTTTTGTCAAGAAAATGGATGGAGGAGGAGAGGGGATGGCAGCGTCCAACTCAGGGCCCTGATGCCTACAGCCCAAGCCCGAGGAGAAGGAGAGGGAGGAGAATGACTCTTGGGGGCTTCCTGGGGGCCCCTTGGGGGACCTCTGAGGGGCTTCTTGAATGCCTCTTGGGGGCCTCTCGGGGCCTCTTGGGGCCTCTTGGGCTTTGTTGGGGGTCCCTGGGCCCTGCTGACGCCTTCGAGGCAATCTTCGGAGCCTCTATGGGTCGTCTTGAGGCCCTCTTTGGGCGCTTTCCAGCCGTCTGGCAGGTTTCTTGGGCCGTCTTGGGGCCTTCTTGGAGGACTCTTGGCCCGTCTTGGGATTTTCTTGGAGGCTTACTCTGTGTCACTCGATAGTTTTGGGGCCCCGGACTACAGGTACCCCCCGGACAAGTACCCCTCCCCCGGACTACAGGCACACCCCCCCCGAACTACAGGTACCCCCCCCGGACTACAGGTACCCCCCCCGGACTACAAGTACCCCCCCCAGACTACAGGTACCCCCCCCCGGACTACAGTCATGAAAGTTGTCATGCAATATTTGGAAAGTTGTCATTGTCATGATACAGAGTGTCTGTGCGTGCGCGCGTGTGCGTGCGTGTGTGCTTGCGTGTGCGTGTGTGCGGTTCCGTGCGGTTGCGTGCGCGCGTGCGCGCGTGCGTGTGAGTCTGTGCGTGCATGCGCGCGTGCGCGCGGGCGTGTCGCGTGCAACGATGCGCGTGAGGTCCCGCGCGCGTAAGTACTAAACACCCGCGTGCGTGGAACCACGCGTGCTTTGAGGCATGACCATATGCCCCCCCCACCCCCCTCCCCCGGACTACAAGTACCCCCATGCGCGCCCTCCCCCATGGACTACAGGTACCCCCCCCAGACTACAGATACCCCCCCCGGACTACAAGTACCCCCCCCCCGGACTACAGGTACCCCCCTCGGACTACAAGTACCCCCCCCCCAGGACTATAGGTACCCCCCCCGGACTACAGGTACCCCCAAAACTATTGAGGGACACAGAGGATGGGGCCGTCGTGGGCTATCTGAAGCCCGACAGGCGGGAACGCGGAAATCCGTCGCAAACAGATTGGAAATCAATCGTGTTGGGGCCGTCTTGGAGGCGTTTTGGCCCATCTTAGGGCCCTCTTGGGCACTTTGGGGCGGCCTGCATGATGGCCTCGTGTTTCCCTCTTGAGCCGGCACAGATGCTCCTTGGGCCGTCTTGAGGCCATTTGGGGCCGTCTTGGAGGCATCGTGGAGCAATTCGGAGGCATCTTGAGGCCATCTCTCCAGGCAGCTTCAGGACGCCCCGATCACTGCTAGACACATGTGAGCGTCTTTGTTCGGAACTGCCGCGCGCATACATCCACGCGCATGTCTATGCTGTCAAGGACAACTGTACCCTTCTCTCCATGTGGTCGTAACGTTAGTATCCCAATGTCGGGCAGCAGGGTCCAGAGGGAGGGGACGGTGCAATGAGAAACCACCCAGATGATTATACAGTTTGTTCTGGGTATTGCTTGCGGGCAGCGTGCGCTTGTTTGTGCAGTATGATTATCGCGGGAAGTTGTTCTTTGACATCGAGGATGAGGACCAGAAGAAGGAAAAGGAGGCATGGGCCCGAATACATCGGCCCACTGAAAGTTCCATTGAATTTTATGATGGCGCCCGCCGCGCGGACGACGGCAGAAGTACTGCGAGGGCAGAAGTCGGCGGTAGTAACAGTACGTCTTCCGAACCCCTTGCCCTCGTAGAAGCCTAGCAAGGTAGTCTCCATTCCTGGGTCGGGCGGGATCCCGCCGAGCTTAGTTCCATTATAAGTTTGATTCGGCCAGGTCAGAATCCCAGCCACTAGAAATAGGGTAAACCAAACGGGTCCTTGAGGAACCCTGCCGTGTTGGGATCGGTTGGGCGCAAGTTCGGGTCCACAAGTTTACGGACTCATGTTGTGGTGGGGCCTTCTTGATGCCATCCATCTTCAGAGGGGATGCGCGCGCCGTCCTGTCGCTTCGGCCCCCTCGTCAGGGCTTTTTGAAACCATGTTATGTTTTATTGAGATCAACGTCGCATGATGTGCAGGTCGCGGGAACGCCCAGCGCGTTGATTTACGAACGATATTGGGTGCATCTTGGAGTTGTCGTTAGATCGTTTTCAGATCGCGCTCGTGTCATGTTTGGATTGTGCGGGCGTCGCTCGGTCAGTTTGGAGTCGCCCTCGATGTGCTTGGGTTCATCTTCTGTCCTTTGGGCCGTCTCGACATCGCCCGCTGCTCATCAGACGTGTAATCGCATAGGCAGCCTGAGACTCAAGATGCCTTGTTGGGATCATGTTGGGCCAGCCGCGGGCGGGTCGCGGGCGGGTCGCGGGGTGGGTCGCAGGTGGGTCGCAAGTGGGTCGCGGATGAGTCGCGGGGTGGGTCGCGGGTGGGTCGCGGGGTGGGT